ACACACACACACACACACACACACACACACACACACACACACACACACACACACATATCATTTGTACTTTGACAAACATCACAAGTTTGGGCGCAGTTTGCAACAAGAACAAAGTTTATGCATTGCATTCGACCTAGAGTTTTGATTTTGTCTTGTTCTGGTTTACAGCGAAAGGTAGTACGAGGGCAGTTTGTCTAGCGATAGCTAGGATGTAGGATCTTCTCTCGCCCGATTTGCCCTTGGCTTTTTGGTTGGGGGGTTCGAAGAGGTGTTGGTCGTCGGGGTGGGACCAGAGTTGGGAGTCGGATTCGTGTTGACCGTTGATCATGAATTGGCCTGACGACAAGGTTGCGCAGCGGGAGAGGTTCGGGGGAAGGGGACGTTTGAATTCGATGGTGAGGTGGAGGGTGGGGTACCAGTGGGATTTGTGTGTGCCGGGGATGATCATGGGTGGAGAGGTGAACATATCTGCGAGGAAAGGGAGGAGGTTGGTGCCGGAGGAGAGGCGACCGGTGGAGACGAGGGAGGGGGAGAGGGAAGGGGAGGGTTGAGGGAGGAGGGAGTAGTAGGCACCGGCGGAGAGAGAGGAGGTGTGGCGCGTGAGACGGTCGTGTTTGGGGTCGTTGGAGATGGTGAGCATCTCGCCGAAGCCGAACGTCTTGCCGGAAGAGGCGAGGTTGCCGAACGGTCGGGGTGGTTCGCATTCTTCGGGTGGTGAGAGGGGGAACCGTGGTGCCCATTGGGATTCCTCGGTGATCGTATAGCCGTTCTTGCTCGGATCGTGGATGTCCTTGCCCTTCAACCCAGGCAACCTGGTTCGATCCGCACTCTCCTTCTGAACCTTGAAGTCCGTCATCAAGATCTGCGTCGTGATGCGCATCACACCATCCTGCCACAATTCAGCCTGCAGGTTCGAGAGACTCTTGCCGCGCTTCAGGACGGTGATCCTGACCTCGAAATCGGTCCACGTGACCGCCTGGATGTACGTCGCGGAGAGCAGCAGAGGGTCGTTGTGGGAGACGGACTTGATGTTGGTCGAGACGAGTTCGGGCGTTCGCATGAACGCGAGCACGGCGTTGAGGATGATGGAGAGCGAGTAGCCGCCTTGGGGCACGGAACCGATGCACCAAGTGGTGTCGATGCTGCCGAGGTAGGTGGCAGAGGTGGGGGTGATGGTGGATTCGTCGAGCCGTGACAGGACGGCGCTTTCGAGGCTCGGCATGATGGCGATTTGGTGAACGAGATGGTGGTGATGATGAAGTGGAAGGTTGTCCAGTGAAGTTCTTGTTCGACGTCGGGACAGAATGAGTCAACGATAGCCGGTATCCGGTCCCACTTTTCGGAAATGGCGTAAAAGCGAAACAGACGATGATCTCACATTCGCGTAACATTTTTGGAGATGCGGAAGTCGGAGATTGGTTTGAGCTGTCACACCAAAAAAAGTTGATGGTGCTCCTCCTCTTCTTCTTGTTACCTCATCTGCAACCTCTTTCTCGACGCTGCCCCCGGAAAGATACCTTGTCAACACGATAGGAGTACTGGGTTGAAGCCTCGTGATACGGTCCAAAAATGGCAACCGCATCCTCATCCACCGCAGCGCTCACAGCCGCAGAACAAGTCACCGACCTCCTCCCGCCCTCCCGAGTCGCACGCAACCTCGAACTCCACCTCGCCGCCGAATCCGGCGATCTTTCCCTCTTTAAATCCCTCCTCACCTACCCTGCGTCTCCTTCCGAGTCAGACGCCGGAGGCGTAGATGTATGGTACGAAGATCCCTCTTCCGCCAACTGGTCTGCACTCCATTTTGCTGCTGAACAGGGACATCTCGAAATCGTCCAACTGTTGCTACGAAATGGAGCGATATGGAATGCTGTCGATGCAAACGGCTTCACGGCTGCGCAGGTTGCGTGGAGCATGAACCATGAAAAGTGCTACAGGGCGATCTTCGAGGAGGGTGTTAGGCAAACGTTCCTCTTGAGCGCGCTACAGGGGGCGGCAAACGATGACGATGAAGATGGGGAGGAAGAGCCGGAAGCGAAGAGAACAAAGACAGAGGAAGGACCAACAGCCATCGTAGACGGGGAACGAATCACACTCAAACCAGAAGCGTCCGACGTAGCCAACGACACAGCTCGATACCTCACGACACCACTGAGCTTTGTCAAGGACAGCTTGGGACAGGTACGGTGTCTCGACGCAGACAAAAACATGGTCATGGCGCCGTGGGAGACCGACATCATGCAGCTCTCCGCTTCTCTTCTTTGTGACAATCAACCGCCATCCTTTTCCATCCTCAACATCGGATTCGGTCTCGGAATCATCGACAAGATCATCCAGACGTACAAGCCCGCTCGTCACGTCATCATCGAAGCGCACCCGGATGCGATCGCGTACGCACGTCAGCTCGGATTCGACAAGCTTCCCGGCGTGGAACTCTTTGAAGGACGATGGGAGGACTGGATCCGCGATTCCGACTCCGAAGACGACATCGCCCGCATGACTCAACTCGGAACCTTTGATGCGGTGTACTTCGACACCTACTCGCAGGACTACGCCGATTTAAAAAAATTCTTCGATGCGCTCCCCAACATCACCAACGGTCCCGATAGCAGGTTCAGCTTCTTCCACGGTCTAGGCGCGACGAACCAGTTCTTCTACGACGTCTACACACGCATCAGCGAGCTCGACCTCAAAGAGATCGGTCTCACCACGCAGTGGCACACCATGGAACCACAGGTCAAGGAGGAAGAGTGGGATGGTGTCAAGAGGAAGTACTGGGAGCTGACCAGGTATCACTGTCCCATTGCGATGTTTGATGTTTGGGATTAGGGGGGGCAATCGTCATCGGCTTGGCTGAAATACATGACTTCGACACCGAGGCTTTTCACGATGCCCATCTTGTTATCGCCGATCGAGGATGGTCGGTGCGTGCCGCGAAGGTCGGCTTTGACGCCGAGCGAGACGAGGCAGTGCGAGAGTCGTCCTTGCCAGAGGAGGCGGATGTCGGAGGTGGTCGAAATTCGCGCTTTGAGCACGCCGGTGATGGGGGAGAGGATGTTGTGCAGAGTGGAAGATGCTGTAGAAGATAGGGTCGGTGCAGGAGCAGGAGCTGGCGCAGGGGGACGCAAGAGGCCACCTGAACTTTCGACAGTGGCTCTGGCGAGCGGGGCTGCGGCGAGTACATCCGATGGTTCGCGAAGTGACAGTGCTGCCGCCTGACCCGACTTTGCTTGTGATGAAACACGTCTTTCCCCAACGTCGTCACCCAGTCCGCCCCTGCTCGAACCAGCGGCCTCCGGTGCTCCTGCTGGCGCCGGCGTCGGCAACGGCGGAGATCCCTTCCTCAACCAATACTCGGCTCCCACCGTCCACTCGCTCTCGTAACTGTACACGTTGAAATCGAACCTCGAACACACCACCACGTCCCTCGCCATTCTCGCCGCGTACGCCGTGCTCAGATGTCCCATCATGGGGTTCAACGTTGCCGTGATGACCGTGGGTGGTTGCGACGGTGTTGAGTGCTGATTCGTCGGCGGTGGGTGCGGTGAGGACTCTGTGTCGAAGGAAGGAGGGGTGATGATGGGGGGATGGTGCGGGGTGTCGGGGAGGGTGGAGAAGCGGATACCGGTGGAGAGCCCGGCGGATTTCTCGACAGTGGAGATGAACACTTCGGCTCCGGCGCTGAAGCGTCCGCGGAGGCCGCCGCCCGCGTCGGTGTCTTCGGCGTTGATGCTGGGTGTGGGAGGAATCGTAGTGCGTGGTGAGGGGATGGGTAAGTTCTCGGGTGAGGCATCGTTGACTGGCGGAGCGGTCGTGGTCGCGGCGGTATCTGTTGGACCTCCAAAGTTGTGCAGCACTCTGAACCCCCACAATGCATCGTCGATCGAGTAACTGTATTCCGTGAACCATCTTCCCGTATCCCTCTGCAATGTCAGCTGCAAATTGGTCGATCCAGGCGGACCCAGCCCGTACGTATCTTGAGCTGCTGCCGCTGCCGCTGCTGCTGTCGTCGCTGTTGCTGTTGTCCCCGCACCGCTGCTCGGTATTGTTGTGGAAGAGCTGAGGGAAGGGTTTGAGGAATCCATTCTGTCCATGCCGCTGCTCGTCGGTTTGCTCCCCATGCCGTACGCAGTTTGAGTCGCAATGTTCTGGATCGCGTTCAACGGGTACTTTGGAGGCGTCGAGACTGCGGTCACGATCAGCTGCCACGTCGGGCTGAACCTTTTTGTCCACAATGCGTCTAATCTCGCACTTGGAACGTGCATGCATCCATACACCAAGTACTCGCCTCCCCCTCCACCACCAGCACCATCGTTCTTCCCCTCAAGCTCTTCAGCAAACCGTTCTCCACCCAGCCAGTAGTACTCCTTCTCTTTTGCTATCGTCGGAGGCCTTGACTCGACGATCCGAAATCGTTCGATGATCTCCTTTAAACGAACATCTTTCGAGGTTCCGCCAAAATCGATGCGTCTGTCGGTGTGGGCGTAGATGTAGCCGATCCCGGCGCGAAGGTTGGGCAGCGCACCGAGGCGATGTGTGGTGAAGAAGGGAGGGGTGGGCGAGGCGGAGATGGAGAGCGAGAGGCCGGTGGGGACAGGGAAGTCGAGGAGCGCGGAGGAGGACGAGGTGAGATGGAGGTACGAGTTGTATTCGTTCCAGTTGGTCGAGTGGAAGTATTGGCGCAGGATGTGGGAGACAAAGTCGTGCATGGTGCGCGAACGGGCCGCGCGCGGGCGTTGAGAGGGAGGAAGGGTCGAAGTCGGGCGAGTGGTCGATGATGATGGTGATGGTGGAAGGTGCGTGTTGGACATCAAATTCAAGGGTCCAAATAGAAAAGGTTGCTACGGTCAATGCGGCAACTCGAACGCGACCGAGTCGACAACTTGCACACCGACGTCGCTCACACCTGCTCATACGATCCCTCTTCCACACACGGCACACGATGCAATCCACGACTGCACTTTAAATAGATATAAGCAAAGATTTCTATATCCTCGCGGCATTTGCTCACGACGCAGGCGGGACACTCCCCGCCAACGCATTCATACTCCCAAACGGATCCCTCACACTCCTGTTGACCTGCTTGTACCACCTCGTATAGTCCTTCTTCAACGCGTCCACTTCGGCATGCAGCGCCGCCACCTGTCCGGCCAACGTCATGAAGCTCTCGTGCTGAGCGTGGATCGCGTCCGAGATGGCCTGCGGCGTATACGTCTCCCTGTTGGACAGCGAAGCCAGGTGATGCTGGATCGTCTCCACCGTGCTCGAGTAGCGTGAGATGCGATCGCGATATTCGAGCGCCAGACCGGAGAAGAAGTGCTCGAGCCACTCGACGAACGATGCGCCGTCCGAAGCGCCTGCGCGCGGCTCCTTGGCATTCAGAATGATGGAATACAGCGTAGAGGTGGTGGTGCGATCGCGTTCGAGCAAGCGTCCTACGTCGTTCGATTGGTTCTCGTCTGTATCGAGCGTCGCGGAGAGCGACTTGAGTGCCGAATCGAGTTCGTGCCATTCGGCGGCGCACTTGCGGATCTCTTCACCAAAGTTTCGCGTCTTGAGCTCGTCGCGAAGCTGGGTTTGAGCGGAGATGTGCGAGTCGAGCTCCTCAATGAGCTTCTTGGCGTCTTCGGGGAGGTCGTTGAATCGCTCTTTCTGAAAGTACCCGAACCGCGAGAATGGTGATGCCGCTGCTGCAGAGTTGTTAAACTGCGGTTGAGACTGGAAGGATTGGAAAGTGTTGTTCGGCTGCTGCTGTTGCTGTGGTTGAGACGATCCGAAGGAGAACAGCGATGTGGATGGCGGCTGCTGCTGCTGCTGCTGTGCCGCTTGAGTAGACGAACCAAACAGCCCGCCGGTAGACGTGGACGCAGTGTTGTTGTTGTTACCACCAAACGAGAAGCCGCCGCCAGCAGCAGCCGGTGCACTAGGCTTGCTGCCAAAGAGACCACCGGTCGACGTCGAAGCGGTATTGTTCGAAGCACCGAATAGCCCGCCTCCAAAACCGGTCTGCTGTGTCTGTTGCTGCGGCTGCTGTTGTTGCTGCTGTTGAGTATTTGAATTGGACCCGAACAACCCGCCGCCGGTCGCTGGTGCAGCCGTCGTTGTGGCCGGTTTTGCCCCGAAGCTGAACCCTCCTGAAGCCGGAGCTGCTGTACCTGCGGTTGTAGTAGCTGTGCTTGCGGAAGCGTTGGACGCGGCAACACCGTCGAATGAAAATCCTCCCGATGCGCCAGAGAATGGTTTGTTGGCGGGAGGTTGTGAGAAGGAAAAGGACGCAGATCGACCTAGTGTCGACCCTGTAGACGGCGCGGCGGGAGTTGATCCGAACATCGTGTACGACGGTGGCTTCCGGTCGTGTTTGTCCCAGCACCTGGCGGGATAGCGATGGTAGCAACGACGAAGGCGATGACGATGATATACCGTGTCCTAGGTGGATGAGAAGGACAAACCTGCAAGCGATGAATATGAAATCCGTCAGAAAACACAACACGAAATCGGCATCATACGCGCTTTCCGCCTGCACAAACCGATCGGCGAGAGAAATCGGGCGATGGACAGAGACCCTTTGCGGACATCAGCACAGACCGGCATCAACTTGCGATGACTGTCCCTCATCCTTCTTTTTCCACCACGCCGCCACCACCACCGTCTACCAAAACAGTCACGACACTTGCAATGAGTATCAGCGCTGCTCGTTGCCGGCCAGCTTAGCGAACCAACGTAATGTCGACCGAAGTGGCTGCCTCGGCGGTCAAGAAGGAGGAGCAAGATGCCGTCGCCTCTTCCTCAAATTCGACCAACCATCTTCCTGCGTATCTGCCATCGACGACGAGCAAACCTGACGAACTACCGCGCGCATATTTGAACGGAACGCAGGACATGTTGAGCCTGTTTGGACTCATGCCCATCTACGACCGAGCCGTGCGTCCGTACAATCCCGATACGATCAAAGTAGAGACCGAAGCTTCTTCATCCACGATCGCTCTTGCAGGCAAAGGGCCATCGGGGACAGCGGCTGCAGCGGGTCCGTCGAGTGCTGTGCAAGCCGGAGCCACAGGATATGCTGCAACGGGAGCAGCGACAGCACACTCGGCAACCCAGGGTGCGACGCCGTCCACAAGTCAACAAGGTGTATCGCAAACGAGCGCGACACCTCGACCAAACACTGGCAGTGGGCCAGCCGCTGCACCCACCACCGGCCTTGCGAGTCATCCATCTCACGGAGCGTCTAGCACAGGACGGATCTCTACACCGGCGCTGCAACTCAACGGTGGACCGCCCACGTTTTCGCTGCACACGGATTCATCCGCCATCTTGGCCGCCTCTCCCGGCCAAATCGCTGCCGCAGCCTCGGCCGCACCTCCCGCTCGCAAACCAACCAAACCACCTGGAACGTATGCGCACTACGTCGACGATCTAGCGGGTCGAGTTCGACCTCCGCGCAAGAGCGCGCGTGCAGCAAAGGAAGCCAAGGGGACATCGCTGGTATCCATCCTGTTCAAACCCGAGTATACGCCGCAGCGAATCGTACCTTTCGACAGAGAGACGATGAAGAGTGCATTCAGTGTGGAGCCGGGTGTAGTGGAGGAGATCGACCAGGCCTTGTTGGAACCGGATGAGGAGGAGACGGTCAAGCCAAAGAAGAAGAAGAAAAAGCTCAAGCAGGAACAGCAGCAGCAGCCGAGAGCGGGCAATCAGGCGGGTTCGGTTCCTCCGTCGGATGCGAGGACGCCATATCGGAGGTGAGCCGAAACTGGGCGAGTTCATCGCTCGTTGTATTTGTATCTGTCATCATCCAATTCAAGTCATATGGTCACGACCGTGTTCGAGCCTGTCAAAGATCTGAAGCAAAACGTACGACTGTGATTCTGCACTGCTTGAAGTGGAACAATATGTAACTTCAGCTCCTCAAACGGCAATCCCCATCCTGGTGGTGATATCATCCACCGTCTTCCAGATCATCTGATGATCCTGATCATCCTTGCCATCGCCACTGGGAGGACCGCTGAAGTACGCCGCCACCTCATCCACACTCTTTCCCCTCCTGCCCGCACTCGCCAGACATCCCTGAACCACGTTGAACAGATGAGAGTTCTCCAACGCTGCCGCTACCCTTTCCTTATCGTTCAACTGCTTGTTGACCGCATTCTCGCTCTGGTGCGTTCCGGGTCGAACGCGAATGTCGACTTTGAATCGATCCGGGAGCGCGCGCAGCAGTCGAACGCGGAGGGAGAGGCCGATGAGCGTGGCCATGCTGCAGTGTGGGATGGTGGGGGTGAACTCGAGCAGGACATGCGGCAGTAGGGTTTCGTCGCCGTGCGAAACGGTGATGTGCGATGCGTTGACTACGGCGAGTTGTTCGAGTGTCAGTGGGTGTTCAGGGTCGGTGATGGATCGAATCAGATCGTAGATCTCTTGACTGTCGATTTGTTCATCTGAAGCGCTGGAATGTGTCTTGCCGTTGCCGTTGGCGTTGGACCCGGCCTCGGTCTCGGGCGAGGTGAGAGGGGTCACGCTTCGACGCGACATTGCCACATCGCCGTCCTGGTCTTGGTCGTCGTGGTCGGCTTCATCCAGCTCGGCTTCATCGTCTTCGTCAATGGTGGATCGAGTGGCACGTGCGAAAGAAGAGGCTAAATTGTTGCTTGAGCTGGTGCTAGCAGATCCGAGACCGGCGATGCTGGTGGAAGAAGAGGAGGAGGCTCGACCTGCTGACTGAGCCGACGAGTGAATCGAGTGGTCGCGCCACCACTCTGCGTTGGCGTTGGACGAGCTGCGTCGCTGAGCAGAGCTCAAGCTCGACTGGTACACGATGGGATTGGCGTTGTCCTTCTGATCCATTGCTGCGATCAATGTTGCGTAGAATTATCGGTGGTTGGTGGCGAAGGAGGTTGCTGAGCGTTGTGATTCGAGTCAAACCCTAAAAATCGAGAAAGGTGGAGGAGAAGAGCCAGCAATCGGGCTACCGTCTGCTACCCGATTCGACGGGACGCATCAATTTCTGAGAACGAGAAGAACCAGAAGAAGTGCCACGGCAGCCCGGCTGAACAGCTGCACGGCGTTAACTTAGCGAGCAGCGCACGTTGACATTTTGCATTAAAATCTCAACTTCTCCAAGCTTGCAGCCATGCCGGCAACTGCTCTGCAGTCGTGGCAGCTGACACAGACACAGAGCGCGAAAAGGGTCGGTGACAGGGTTCGGCAGCGCGGTTTGTGCGCGTGATGTTGGAATGCTACACTCTCTGCCATCTGTCTATCACTCCCACTCTTCGTCGATCAAGCTGTTTTGACGGTGACCTTTTCCATCCTTCATCGCATCGCATCGTCAAATACACGATTTCCTTCTTCTGACCATCAGAGCGTTTAGCACGTCAAATCGAGACCGGCGAAGGACTCGACTCAATCGTCTGCAACTCTCCTCCCCGCTTTTGTGTCAATCTTCGCTTCGTCGATTCTTTTCATTGACGCGACCGTCACATTGCCAAAGGACGACTCAGGAAACAAATCAGCATAGCTTCTCTAGCAACACTCGCAATCACGTCTCCTTGATCAGGTCAAGTCAAAGTTGGACCACCCAAAGCACCCCGAACTCATAGCCCTTTCGGAGGTTGCGACGGCACTTTCGGGGACGACCGACCATCGCTATCAGCGTCCACTAAGCCGCGCACTTTTCTGCATCACGGCCAATCCGAACCGACTGTTGCTTCTTTCGACCGCTTGACTAAACGAGCGTATCACGTCTTCGGAATGCTTCCGACCTCCCTTCGCTCTTGCCCGCCATGACTCATAACGAGTCTTCAGGGCCGTCCCCTTCACGTTCGACGGGGCATGTGCCGTCTGCTATTCCCACACCTGGACCGGCTGCTCCAATGCACGCAGCATCGCTTTCTCACGCTTCCACTTCAGCACACAACGCATCGGCTGCGCCGAACCCCACATCAGCCTCGGTACAGCCAGCAACGATATCAGCAGCACCGCACACTGCGCCGTCAATATCGGCAACCAGCTCCGACATCAAGGTGCTGCCATACCTCTTCGACGACGCACAGCTCGACGACGTGCTCGTCCTCGTCGTCGACATGCTCGTCAGGCTCACCGACCACAACGATTCGCTTCCACTCCATCCCTCCGCCCTTACACGTTTCCACTCGCGAGCTACACCCAACATCTCGCTCTCGGCCTACCTGCGTCGAATCGCAAAGTACACCTCAATCGAAAAGTGCTGCGTGCTCATCTTGCTCGTCTACATCGACCGCGTCTGCGAACGCCTCGAAGGCTTCACCATCTGCGGCTTGACCGTGCACCGTTTCATCTGCGCTGCCATCCTCTGCGCGTCCAAAGCGCTCTGCGACGCATTCAACACCAACGAGCACTACGCCAAAGTTGGAGGTATCAGTCTGCAGGAGATCAATCTGTTGGAGAAGGAGTTCCTGCAGATCATCGATTGGAGGCTGATCTGCGGGGGAGCAGAGTTGCAGCACTACTACGCGAGCTTGGTACGGAATCACAAGGACTATGTGCTGGATGAGCCAAAGCACGCGCAGCAGCAAGAGCGGGTCCCGACGGGGATGGACATTGACACTGTGGAGGGAGACGGGATTGGTAGCGCGAACGTCAACGCGAGTCCAGTTGGAAAAAGCGGGATTGCACCACCAGTATTGACGGGAGTGGCGGCGACCGCCCAAGCAGCAAGTACCCACGCTACGCCAGCGATAGGCACCAGTCAACACAGCTCTCCCTTTCCCATCAGCAGCAGCAACAGCAATAGCAGCACCAGCCACAGTCCCTTCACCCCTTCTTCCGCTCACATCAACGGAACTGGCGGCCTCGGCGCTGTTGTCCCGAGCAGCTCATCGTCTGGTAGCAGCGGTCGGCGAGCAGGAATCGCAGCATCGTCGCTGTCAACATCCACGAGTCCGACCTCTGCGATGCAAGTCGATCCCGCGACGGCCACGACTTTGCACCCAGCATCAGCAGGAACAGCGACGAGCAGACGGAGGAAAGACGAGCATCGCACACCTCCTTCTCCGCGGAGTCAGTCGCACACGTCCGGCACTGCACCCAGTGCCGGTGGCAGCATCGATGCGCTACATGGCAACGGTCACGCTTCGTCTGCGCATCTGCATTCCGCCGATGCGGCCAATGCGAACGTTGATGCTTTCAAACGCACGCGGTTCGATGGACCGCAACAATAGAGCAGCACCAGCTGTTTCTTGAGCCATCGCGAAACTCGCGGTACCTCTGTAACATTAGATCGCAATGAACACTGTACACTCGATCAACACTGTACACAAACCTTAAAAGACTGACGCCTCGGGACAAAATGCGGGGATCACGATCGACAAAGCCGTGTGGGCTGGCGAGAGTGCGGCCGCCTGCATGAATGGGCCTGACATAGTGCCGACGGTCATGTGTATCTGCTGCAAGGCGAGTTTAGCGATAATGACAGCACATGGACAGATGACGGATCGGAAGGGGCATACCGCGGTCATTGGCGATTGGCGGTTTCCGACTTTCTCGCCCGTACCGCGTGCATCAGAAGGCTAGAAACGTTCTGATCTCGAAGAAATCGAGCTTCGCAGGGCCCCTTCGCCTAAGTGCGAGGGTTGAGATCGGTGCCATTAAGGGACCCAAGCGTTCAATGGGTATCAGTGCGGCGGCTGGAGGCGGTGCGAGATCGCAAAATTTCATTTGCGTTGGTTGACCTCGGCTGGAAAGTGTTTCGCCGGCACCGGTTCGGATGGCGCTGATGAAGACATTTTAAGTCACATTGTCAGGTCTGCGGGCGCAGAAGCACTCGGACAATATTCCTGTCAGCCGGCATAGGGCTCCCTGTCCTACTCGCTCAGATCATCTTTGGGGACATCTCGTTCGTGAGGCTTGTTCTGGGTTGCTCGGACCGCAAGGGGTCAGAGTGGTGCCGGAGAAAGCTTGCCGCCGCAAATTCGTCATTGAATCATAAGGAGAGGCGGGGATCAAGTCTGAGACTTCGAACGTCGGCTCGAGCATGTGATGGCTCATGTGGTGTTTCATCAGACTACTCTTCTGCGGATAGCTATCTCGTGTACTGTATAAGTACCGTGGACAATGGATTCATCTAGAGAGTACCTTGTTCCGTTCACGCAAAACCTCCTTCTGAACTCGTTCCTCAACTGCTCCTTTCCAATTCATCACCAGACGTAGTCGACATGAAGACCATTCCTTTCGTTTCAGCGCTTATCGTTGTTCTCAGTGTCGTCACGGCGACGCCTCTGCTCAGCCTTCCCCGGCCCAGCTCGGATCCACCCATCACCACACCCAAATCCGTCCTCGACCGCGGTCTGGAATGTCAAACCGGCTCACCCTCGCGCCAAACGCGCCCCATCCTGCTCGTTCCAGGAACCGGCGTCACGGGTCAACAATCCTTCGCGTCCAACTGGATCCCGCTCTCGACGCTGCTCGGATACTCACCCTGCTGGATCTCTCCTCCGCCGTTCATGCTGAACGATTCGCAGATCAACTCGGAGTACATTGTGAATGCGGTGCACACGCTGTACTCCGGATCGGGTGGGAAGGTTCCGGTGGTGACGTGGTCGCAGGGCGGGTTGGCGGTGCAGTGGGCGCTGACGTTTTTCCCGAGCATCCGGGGAAAGGTGGATCGGTTGATGGCCTTCGCACCGGACTACAAGGGGACTGTAGAGGCAGGATTGCTGTCGACCTTTGGACTCGCGGCGGAATCCGTGTGGCAGCAACAGGCGGGTTCAGCCTTCTTGACCGCCTTGAAAAATGCCGGTGGTTTGACACGCATCGTTCCCACCACAAACCTCTACTCGTCAGTCGATGAGATCGTCCAACCGCAGTTTACAAACTCCCCCGTAGACTCGAGCTACCTGGATAACTCGATGAACGTTCAGATGCAGCAAATCTGCGGAGGTGGCTTCATCGTAGACCACGCGGGAAGTTTGACCTCGCAGTTCTCTTGGATGGTGGGGAGGTCGGCGTTGGGTTCAAAGACGGGTGAAGCGGTGAGTGGAGAGTTTGGAAAGCAGGATTGCAATGCTACCGCGGCGGAGCCGTTGTCGGCACAGCAAAAGTCGGATGCGGGTGGACTGCTGTTGGTCGCAGCGGGGAATTTGCTGGGTGGTCCCAAGGTCAAGTGCGAACCGGATCTGATGGAGTATGCCAGGAAGTATGCAACAGGCATGAAGACTTGTTCGGGTGTGATCATGTGAACGAAAGCGGATGGAGAAAATTTGTTGAGTCGGTCGCGTTGATACCGCGTCTATTGTTGCTCTTTGTTAGTCGATTTGTGCTGGATCTGGATTCGGATCGTGTTGAACTCGCACCGTGCTGGATGTCTTCTGTCGTTGGTATAGCCGTTCTTTTGTCTTCGTTAATGGATTCGTGTTCTTAATAGCTGCGGTGGGTCTGCTGGCAGCTTGTCCTCGATCGGAAGGCGGCACTCGACGCAAGAGTCTTACCAGCTCAAGTTTCTGCGTGAAGATAATGCGCGCTTCCCAGTCAAAAAGCAGCACGCTCGACAGAAACACGATCCAGTTGGCAGGTAGAAAAGCTCGATTGAAGCAGTCATGCTGCAACAAAGGTCGAAATTGACATCGAACAGAACTCGCTGTCAGCTCGGGAGGCCAGCAGTGTTACTATTTCAAGCAGCCTGCGCGGTCTCATCGCTATGATGATGCTTGACATCGACAAACTTGCGACCCATCTCCACGGCCTTGTCGAGGGGCTTGCTCATACCTCCCGCCAGCTTCTGCGTCATTCCGCCGCTCTGCGGAGCCGAAGGATGAGGTCGAGTAGGGGCCATCTTGCTGGCGCTCAGGAAGTCATCGACAGCCTTGGACTGTTCGTCGGCCGAAAGCTCTTTGCAGAGCCGAGGAAGTTGGTCGTTCTCCTCTTCCTACAAGCAGCAAAAGCGAAAGTGGATCAGTACGGAATCATCTGTATGCGCAAAGACTGGAGAAGATGACTCACTTCGGCGTGTTCGATGAACAGACGGCAAGCCTTGTCGACCTTTTGAGCGAAAACGTCGAGACCAGCACCCGAGATCTGATGCGTGTCGAGCTCGGACACGGCCTGCTTGACCTGTTGGTGATCGTCGCGATCCTTCTCGGCAGCCGAGGCCATGTTGAAGCGCTCCATGAGCTTGTAGATCGATAGCTCTTCAGCGTCGGAGTGGACGGCGGCTTCGTGGATGATCGTGTTGACGATGGCCTCGCAGTGGCCGTGGTCACCGGCCTTGTAGGCATCGTGGAAGCGTTTGTGAAGGTCACGAATGTTGTCGTGATCGACCTGGAGGGCGAGTGCGGGGAAAATTGGAGAAACAATCAGTAAAGCGTGGAGATCGAGAGGACAGATTGACAGGAGCTTACCTTGATCTCGTCCAGCAGATTCTTTTTGCCGGTCATCGTGGAGGCAGCAGCGGCAAAGGCGCGAGTGGAGAGTGCGACTGGAGAGGCGACAAGCAGAGGTGCGAGGCGGGAGGAACGAAGTAGAGGCTGAGTAGTGCGAGCGGCAAAGATTCGTAGCGAAGCCATTTGATAGTTAGATGAGGCCGGATGGAGATTCGCGAGAAGAAGGGGGATATCGAAAGCGATGCAGAAGGACCGACTCTTTATAGCATTGAGACAGACCTTGCAAAAGGCTCAGCCTCGCCCTGCTCTCGCTCTCTGTCACGGTGCTCGCAGCTTCTGTCGGCTCGTTCCGCCTATAGAAGGCAGAGCTGAGCTTCAGCCATCGAGCAGCACTGCAGAGGAGCAGCAGCAGTAGCGGGGGCACGAGAATACCGGCTGATCCGACGTGACCAGCTTTGCTGCTTCGCTGATGCCGTGCTTCGAACCAATCAGAGCTCTCGTCTTTGCAATGACACTAGGGTGACTGGACCCAATGATGACAAGGCGTCGGCTGCAGATCCGACAGCTTCAAGTCATCCTCCGCATGTTGCAACGCGGGGCTACGAGAAGCAGTCGGTGCAGCTGTCAGGTGTCCAATTCTGCTGAAAAAGTGAATCATCGCACGCATGCAAAGAGGCGTCTCTGTGAATAGTGGCGCTCTCAGTCACGTTGCTTCTCGAATCGGCGCACGGATGCCTGGTGCATTCTGGGGCAACAAAGATCGTTCGGAATAAGCTTCGAAAGGGTGACCTTCTACCCGACCGCCAGAGCTACGACTCCTCGAAGAGTGATGGATGGTTCGGTTGGGAGTCAGCTGCGCATGCCGGATACCGAATGGACAAAAAGGGGGAAAAAGGCGAGGTAAATGGTGTGTCAAAATAACACTTCTTTTTGGCTCACAGACACTGTTCATTAGCTTAGGGTTTGCAAGGAACGCTCGAGCAGCTCAAGCACGAGTGATGATCCGTAGATGCACGACCAGTAAGAGGAGGGTGAATGAGGTCGAAACGAAGGCATTGTCCATGTCTATGTCGAAATCTATGATGATGAAAGTATCTGCTGATCTCATTTCTCTACAGCGGGAAGGATGCCGACGCTGACACCGAGCCGTGCCAGCCCTTCTTTACGGCGTGTCTCCCATTCGTCCGTCTCCCAGTAAGCTTTCGACATCCACGCTTCGTCTTCGGTTCCCTTTCGTTCGCTTTCCGTGCGGAACTGTCGGAGGAGCGCCGCTTTCTTGATCAGCTTGGCGTCGACCTTGTTCGAAACAGTCTTGCGTCCCGTTTTGTTCCGGTATGCTTCTCGTTCCTGTTCGAGATACTTGACTCGTAGGGCCTCTGCCTTGTCCCAATTTGACTTTGTAGGTGGTAGAGTGCCGTAGCCGGAAGTGGCGATCATCAGCCAAGGAGGGATGGTTCTTCGACCCGCTTTGCAGACGTATCGAGAGATGGATGTGCAGTACAATGTCTCTCCAGATTGCAGTTTTTCCGTCATCGCATCACCGTCCTTGGGTTTCTGAGCAGAAGATTTGACCGGCGAGACGAAACGTCCGACGACATAGACCCACTTGTCATCCCACGCTTCTACGCTCATCCTGATGGTATACTTTGCCAACATAGGCACTTCGCGATGGAAGTTGAAGCCTGAGCCGCCAAGCGCGATCCATCCACCATCGTAGTACATCTTAAGGAAGCGTGGTCCGTTGTGTGCCAGTCGGGTGACGTCGAGTGACTTGGAGTAGGACGAGTTGGAAAGGTGGCCGTTCCAGTCACACTCGTCGAGAGTGGCTACAAAGGAGTGGGACGACGTGTCGAGAAATATATCACGGTCGAGCGGGAGGCGTGACAGTTTCAGTTGGGGCTTGATCGAAGGGTGGGTAAGTGAGGTGGATTTCGACGACGAAAACGTGCGGGCGAGAAGCACGGATCTGAAAGCGGGATAGAGCACGCGGATGTGCCAGGCAAATGGCGTGGAGCGGATGTTGGCGATAAAGAGAAGACCAAGCAGGAGACGAAGCCAGACAGGTGGATTGATGCGGATGGGTTCGAGGAAGATGGCTTTGAGGGTCGATTGTCCCCATGGTGTGAGCAGCATGCCGAGGGCGCCGAGGGGTGCTGCTACGGATGTCACGCTAAGCGCCGAAGAGCGTTTCGACGCGGATGAGGCAGTCATGCTGTTGATGGCGCGATCAGGGAAGGGGGTGAAAAAGGAGGATCGAACGTGAAGTGGTTGCACAGCAACCACCTTGTTATATGTGCTGGTTGTCGCGGTGAAGGCAGAAGAAGAAGAAGATACGTGGTGGTGACCGGAGTGTCCACTTTTTCGTTCCAAAAAACTGTCGCGAAGCTGCAAACAAGGGTCCACGGAACAAATGCGTCGCGTGGTCCTCACAAAGAACAACAGCCCGGTGCAGCGCGATGATGAGTCGTGCCGGCATCCGGCAACCCACTTATTTCCGATCCGGTCACGATTCCCTGGAAGTTTTTCATTTTTCCCCAACAACAATCAACGAAAATTCTCCGAAGTGCTTACATTGTTTGCCAAGCGAACTTTGTAGTTGATTCTGTTTCGTCCGCGGACCAGTTCTGCCTTCCAACGTTGCTCGGGCTGTAGCGACAAGACAGGACATCATCTCGGGATTCGGCACGCTCACGTCGCTCCCAACATTGTCTGCGCGCGATTCGCTATCGTGCTCGGCTCTGATCCGTGCTACATCGTCGCCTGCACTTGCCTGTCAGAATCATTACCGGCACAATAATCACAATGTGAATCACCGAATGCATGGTTCGGATCAATCGATGCTGCGTTCGGATCTGCCGACTCGACAACCTCAAGCAAGACGCAGTCAGCTCAGGCTGTAGCCGAGCTGTCAATTGCAGCAAGTGCCACAATCGTACACAGACCGCTTTCATGCTCTTGCTGGATCTGATGTTTGCGACTTTGACATTCCGAGTTTCTGTGTCTACAATGCAGTACTCCGTGTCGTACGCACACAACAATCCTCACATTTCTGCCTGGTGCGACAACCTGTCCACATCATTCATGCTTGTGCTTTTTGATAGCGTCTCAAAATAGCCTTGCCGGCGTACCAAGCCAACAGAATGGCAGCAAAGCCGCCGACGATGCAAGCACCGATGATCCCAGAGGCATCGTTAGCCTGCTGCCAAAAGAGCCACCATCGACCCTCGAGACCGCCATCGTGGCTGTCACTCTGCTTAGCAGCTGCCCTGGCGCATCGATCGCAGTTCTCGCCGATGAGACCCATGAGGGTGATGATGGAAATGGCGAATGCTAGCAAGATGGAGAGCAGCGTGAGGAGGTGAGACAAGTTGGAGGATGTGCCGTGATCGTTGCGGTGGAGATCCTGATCGTCTGTTTCTACATTCGCGTGATCGTCCTTCTGCTTGCTGTCATCTGTCGTCTCGATCTTTTCATCTCTTGCCCCTGCGACGTATGGTGGTGGCGACCGTTGTGAAGAAGGATCCTCCAAGAAACGCAGCCGCTTTAGCCAAGCAAGTCTTTTTGATGGACCAGATTCCTTGCTTACAGGAGCGAGAAGCTCACCAGGGGCATAGGCATTGATCATGAGCACCGAATCAAGGCTGTCGACCAGAGTCATGCCGGCGGTGAAAAGCAGTGCCAACAGGACGATGCTGGCGTCCGATCGGGTGGTACCATTTTCTGGAAAGATAGCCTGATCCGCGTCGAGAGAAGTGTCCTGCACCTGCGTGTTGGTTGCGCCTGCTATACCGAGCAGCGCGATGGAAGAGGCAGTATCGAATCCAAGTCCAAACAGGACACCGATGGGGTACAGTTTGTATGGACGGTCGACGAGACGGAACAGCGGATAAGCGAGACGAGTGAAGATGCCTCTGAAACGGTGGTCTTGGTTCTGTTGCTGCTCTTTGTCTGCGAGTTCGGCTGAAGTAGCGGTCTTGAGCAGATCCGAGGTGGGCTCTATACGGTCTGGCTCGCCGGACGGAGTGCGATGATTGCGCGATGCTCTGATGCTCTGATAGAGCAGGACGGAGTTCACGATGGCAAAGAGAAACAGCGTGGATCCAGAGACGGCTGCACCGACGATGCCGCCGACCGAGCTGACCTTACCCAAACGGTCCACGATGCCAAGGCTGATCGCGATGGCGCAGATCACGGCGATGACAATGGTCGAGTGACCGAGCGAGAACCAAAGGCCACACGTCACAGGTCTCCGTGGTCGAAGCGACGCACCCGAGCCCGTGTCACCAGTGGTGTAGCTGAGAGAGACGATGCGACGAGTGGCATTGTCTATGACTGAGATATGATCAGCATCGAGCGCGTGACGCAGACCAAGTGTCCACGCCAGCAAGGACAGAGTCAGGAATCGGGTACGATGGCGAAACACGATGGCAGCTACCACCCAGAGCAGAGCGTTGACAGCGAGCTCCGCTGCGATGAGCAAAATGCATCTGAGCAGCAGCGTCGGACGCTTGGTCGGTCTTCCTCGCCATCTCGTCCCCAACATGGCTTTTGCTGCGTTGATGATACCGAGCATCTTGATCGGTGTGAGGGTGGGGGGAGTGGTGAGTTGGACAAAGCGCGATAACAAAAAGAAACCAACCAGAAAAAAAAGGCGGACCCTTGATCGGAGTCCCATCCGCTGTTCGGCTTCTCGACCGCGTTCTGCTGCACCTCTGTCACTCCTGACAGACAGCGGCATCTAGAACGGACAATGTGTTCGCTGCAAGATCGGATCTGATGCCGAAATCTTGCCCATCCGTCTAGGAAATTGTCTTCGTGGTCACAAGGTGATCTTGTGAAGTCTAGCTCGCTCGAGCACTGATTCGCCCGTCAGAGTTGGGCGATAAGCGTGGTCGACTCCTTGACGGACTACGCCGAGATGTGAGGAGCCAAACCGGATTCGACTCGTCAGTGGTGTCAACTACGAGCTAATCCTGGTCAGCTCGCATTACCGCTGCTCGAAACGGCTGAAGATGCACGGTGCGGAACCTTCTGCTTCTGCTCGTTGGCCTTGTCAGCGGTCCTGCCTTTGATAATGGCAATGTGCGCCCGCTCAACGTTGTCGATACCTTCCTCCTTGTATTCGGTCCGTTCAGGACGAGCATCAGCTCTCGCTACTCTCAGATCCTGCTCCCTCAAGGCGTCTGCGTAGGCCTCGGTTTGAGACTTGTCTTTGTGCCGAGCGTTGCCATGTTGAATACATATCGGTCTACATTCGCAGCGGGTGTCTTGGCGTGCGAGAGCGGTCTGAACGGAGTCGTCTATCCTGTTGTCTTTCAACACCTCGAACCACGCATTGGGTTCAAGTAGACCACCCGAACACTTGCTTTGATCGTTTCTGCAACTCAGTCCGTCGCTGTGGTACTGAGATGTCGACGCGGTTTGACTTGTAATTCACTGTCGTTCATCGACACGATCGCCTTCACGGAGGTGCCCATGCTTATCTTTCATCTTGCTGCATTCTCGGCATTGATGCGTCTGCTCGATCCCCTCTGATCCATCCGTGTCTACAGCCAGAACAAGGTGCACGACCTTCCGACGTCGTTGCTTGCCTATTTGAAACCACTTCTCAATGCAATCACTTTGTTCGAAAGATTGTGCACGAATTTTGCCTGCAGACACGAATGGATGCATCAACATGTTTGTCATCGCCTCAATCTTTGCGGCTATCGCAACTTTTGGTTGGCTCAGCGTAGACAGCGTACCCAAGCTTGTCGTCTTTTGCGTGCTCAGCGGAGCGTTCTCCGGCAGCTTCGATTTGCTTCAAGGCCCTATAGTAGCAAATCGACCCAAGGCGAGCCGCATCTTTGAGCACGCCTGGGCGTGTTCTGTCTGTTTGCCGCTGTTGGCGTGCTAATCGGAAGCACAGTCACCGGTATTCTCATTGATGAAGCCAAGAGCGGCTTCTGGCCTGCTTAGTTCTTCTATGGAAGCCCGATCGTCAGGTCCGGCATCTTCAATGCTCTCACGAGATACCTCTGCGCCCCTGCTGACGTGCCTGTCAAGGCTTGGCGAAAGGATGTTGCAACGAAGGAAACTTTCCGTCACAAACACGGTCACGCTTTCCACGAAGCTCGCAGAATTGGCAATCAGCCTGATGTAGAGCGTCTACTGCAGGCTTATCTCGACGCATGAGGCGCGCTTCCATCACTCGCATTGTAGAGATCGATAACGAAAGAATGCGATTGAGACCGGACCATGCAAGGATTGTACAAAGCTGCCGAGAACGAAGGTGATCCGTGACAAGACGAAGGCGACAGGGAATTTGAAGGAGACTAGGCGACGGCTGCGAGCGCAGCGCCAAACTTGCCGTAGATGGGACTGATACTTCTCGAGAGACCCGAGTTGAGTCGATCGTGACCATGGGAATGCATCGTCAAAGTAAAAGCATACGCGACTGCACCCGCGATTGTGATTGCTTGCGATGTCGGTGCTCTGTACAGCATCTTCTTCGGTGGCTTGACAGCGACGGGTGTTGTGACGGAGCTGGTCAACACAGCGGCGTCCGGCTGAATGACGGGAGCTGTGACACCCGGCAAGAGACTCTGCACGCTTCGACCGAGTACGAAAGCGAAGACCTGAAGTGCGACGGCAGACTGATCGAGCGAGAAGGCGGCTGCTCCGGCGATCGACCCCGCCAGCAATGATTCTGCGAACGAGTTGCTCTTGATCCCCGCAATGCGACCATCGTTGCGCTTTCGGATCGAGCCGAGCGTCATGACGATGGCGGTGTAGGTGGCTGCTACCATGCCGTTGTGGAAGGCGTGCTGCATCACGGCTTTGGCGACACCTTTGGCGGCGGTTCTGAGCTTCTGAAGGCTGTTGACGTTGCCGTAGATGATGAGCATCACGATCGAATGCGAGAGTCGCAAACGAACAGATGTGTCAACCGCATTCTTGGTTGCAAGGAACGTTTGGATGACGATAGGGTTCTTGAGCGCTTGTCTGTAGTGCAGCGAGACTTCTTTGAGCACCGGTGGGAGGTAGATGTCGGGAAGGAGGATGCTTTGCGACTTGGTGAGTCTCATGATGAAGAGGCGCTGCGATCCAGATGTGGGCAGGTAGGAATGGCTGTGGAGGAATGATGGTAGCGGCAGCAAAAGCTGTGGAGAGGGAAGCGGGATTGATACGTTTGGGATCGAGGGAGTGCGAGCTTCATATACTCTTCATGACCAGGCTTGCCAATTCCATGCAGGCTTCTACAAAAAGAGACTAGCTGGTGCATAAGCGAGGTGGACCGAGCAATTCTGTTCCGGACGATGGGGCGTTATCAAGGCTGAACACTACGAGAGGAGGTGGGGGCCACGGGTTGGACGACGCCCGTCCAGCTTAGGCAAGAATGCCAGCCTGGGCAAGACACGGTCGCATGATAGGAAGTGAAGCTTCTGCGGCTCTCCAGCCATTGCTGCCCCGTGGCGAGGCAGGAAAGACGAAATCGCACAAGACTTTCCACCACCGACGTGCTGGTGTTTCATCTCTTTGAGCGAGCAGAGGCTGCAAGTCGATTGGAAGATTCGCCACAAACGAGGCGAGAACTCGGCAAAGGCCAAGGATCCACGTTGCGCATGGGCGATCGATCAACCTTGCGGCTCGCTGGGTTGCTGTGCGCCGAGCGGGGGTTTGTCATGAACAGACCGCGGCTGGCCTAGGAGAGGGCGCTACTGTCTACCCGAGATTAGTCTGGATTCAAAGACGCTAACCCCCACACACTTCCCAAAACGGACCTAGAACAAGCTCTGTGGAGGCGGAAGGGCGGCAGGCCCTCTCGCGAACTGTCAGATCGTTTTGACGCTAGCGTTGGGACAGAGATGGCAGCTCGAGAGCCGCACAGCAAGGTCTCGACGATAAATTCCCAGGCGTATTGAGCTAGTCGCTTTTAGCGCGTCGCGGTGGTTTCAGAAATTCATACTTGCGCCATTCAGCCCCACTTATCTCATCTGCTACTGCAGCCGCTTGGGCAGAGAACGCCATTTGCCGAGCCGCTTCGGCAGAGAACATCGTCTAGGCGAAGTCTTAGTTTCTGAGACCAGCATCTCCGGTTGCGCTTGCGCGGACGAGCGGCACGCTACAGCTCTTCCGTTGGAGGAGCATCCTCACAAGTCTACATTTCGAGGTGCAACAGTGGCAGATCGATCAAAATGGCAAAGATCCTATTCCGATACCAAGCACGTCGACGATGGGGGGCAAGGAGCGTGTTCCTGTAAGGGGAGCGTCGCGGTGAGCATGTGCTGATCCGGGATCCGCGCATAAGCGCGCATTGAAATTTCTTGACAGCTGACGCGAATTCGTCGCATTCCAGGCAATCGATCAGTCTTAGGTGCTTCAACATCCAGCAGCGCCACCAGCGCCGCCACGTCATCTGTGTATGAACTGTCAAATCTCGTTTGATGGCGGAGCTGAGTACCCACGCCAGAATCAATCGGCTAAGCCCTAGACGCCGCGTTTCGTTGGGATGCCAACGCGGCGGTGGCTTGTGTCAAACAGCCTCTGAGAAGAGTCGAGAGCTTCTTCTTGCTCGTAAGCATGCCACTTGCGTCAAAACCTACATAGGTAACAGGCAATCTTGTTCTTGGCCGACTCGCTTGATCTTGCAATGTTCCGCATCTCTTGCACCACGTGAAGCATTCTCCGACCAAGTCGCCCTGCCTGCCTTTCCTGAGCAAAGCAACTGTCTCGGATCGAATATGGTTGCACAAGCTCGCCGATTCGCAAAGTTGCACAGACTGGTCTCGATCGCGCCCTCGCTGTATCTTATCTTGACAGACAGAACAGGTAGCAGCTCATACAACCGACCGCAGATCCGTCTCCCTTATCATGAGGCCGTTGATTTGACTGAAGAAGTCATCGTCTCACCGCTTTTCATTCGCTCATTCTATTGTCCGTTAACTTCTGCTCTGTGCCTGTTTTCCGCACCCAAGGCAGAACTGGTCTGTAAAGACGGAGCCTCGATCGACCTCATTGACGCCGGACAAGATCGTTTCAGGAAACCGTCAACCATTCGACCTTGGAATCACGTAGACGGTGGTGCTAACCCGGTAATGTTCAACAGCTTGATTACTTTCGAGCAGCTTGCTCGAGCAGTACAAGCGTGCTTGTGTTTCGAACAATCAGAATCAGCTTGCGGGATAGAACTTAGCATCAGCAACGCAGCTTGATCTCACTGCGCGGCAGCATGTCAGGTGGTTGGGACGCCGCCAGCCACCATCAGCACACCGCACCTGACTGATCCATCTGTGAAGCCGATAGCACTTGCCACAATCATGGAGTACATCGAGCAGACACGCGCAGTTCTTGCTTTTGATGTCGTGGACAGGACTGTTGCCGCTTTTGCAGATGAGCAACTCAGCCACGTAGCTGAACGCACAGACGTTCTCTACTGACCTCGAGCTCCATGATGATCCACACTATCACAGCTTCAATTGTATCTAGGAGGGCTCCCACTGTATGCACGAACATTGGCTTCTCTCTGGTTGACCGCTGTCACTGGGTCTAGGAAGCGAGTCTCGCACCCGCATATCCCTGTACTTGCGTATTGCCGTCTTCACTGTTACCAGCCAAAAGCTTGTTTTGGGCTGAGTTGGCCACACGCATGTACGTAGTTGGATCGCTTGCCGCAGCAATTTCCAAGATACCATCACCGTTCATGCTTATGTACGCTCATTATTAGTTGTTCCGAGTTGATTTTTGTCTTTGCCACACCCCCTGCCTTCTTCAGACAACCTTGACACCGTGCAAGCCCTTTCAACATGCATGTACTTCATTGTGGGGTTGACAACATCGCTTCAGTCTATCGTCTCACCAACGCAATCCAGACTGATCATGCCTTCAGACAAGGACAGCCTTGCCACCTCTTCCAAGGCCTTGTGCTATTTGTTCCTCCAACATTGGTCAGATAACAACCTCTCAAGCCCCAAATGGCCCAGCTTTCCATCACAACATTGTCACTGCCAGCATTGTTGAAATCGGCCAAGCCATTTCACCTTCCAGCATGATTGTGTCTTTTGATGAAGATTACGGTCCTTGCAAGTTCTTGCACCATTCCTTGTTGGAAGCCTCTGCAGCCATGCATGCTTAGGGTTAGGGTTAGGGTTTAGGGTTTAGGGTTAGGGTTAGGGTTAGGGTTAGGGTTAGGGTTAGGGTTAGGGTTAGG